AGAATGCGAGAATATTTTTAGTTTGAATTGTTGATAGAGAAGTTCATTTGTGTTTTTCATTGAAGTGTTCAAGTTTATTCTTTACAATGGATTTGTCTTTAGGTAGAGAATTTTTTTTAAGTTTTGTTCATTGCAGTGAAATTCGTGTCAATGTGAAGATTGTTAGAATTTGGTTGTGATCCGAATTCTTTGTTGAAGACAATTGAGAATTCTAATTAAAGTGCACATTAAGAAGAATTCTCTTAAAATGCTTTTGGAATCTTATTCAAGATCTATTTGACAAATTCTAGTTAAAATTCTATTTGGAAGCCATGTGGAGTTGAAATTTTTGTTGTACTTAAGGATATCGAGATAAGAAAACTTTTGGACATTTTATTTATTTACAACTCTACTTTTAAGGCTTGGATTGTTCCCTATATAAATTTTGCTCTTCTCTACAATTTTTTAACCTCATTATAAATTTGACAAATTATAAACACAAAATCATTGTATCATTCCTCCATATTATAATAAAATCTCATAATTCCTCTACCATATTTTTTTGTCTTTCATTATTCTTTTGCTTGCAATTACTTTATATTATGGCTTAATCTCTTTTTTTCTCCAACAAAGTGGTATTGGATTAATCCAATATCATCTTCCGCTTTTCACAACAAACTAGTTTCAGATCTTTTCCGGATTAAACAACATTCCAAGAAATACAGAGTCAAATTAAAGATATAAATATAAAAAGAATTGAAGTTATTTTAAAAACGGAACAAAAAATTTGAATTGAAATGAGAGAGATGGAATAGTTTATACAAGACCTTTCAAAGGAGTGTAGCCTCTTTCGATTAGATGGGGATACTGCGTGTAACCCAAGAAACCACAGGCACTCGTAGTCCAAAAGAGAACTTCCGGAAGTCCAAATTGTTCGGCCGCTTTGAGAGTGAAGCTCATGACGCCATCAGACACTATGCAGGTCACTGGAGGTACCTCCGGTGCGGCGTTGTTGAGCTTCGTCAGCAGGCTGCAGAAAGGAACCAAGCAAGTTTTGGTTGTAGATTCACACAGTGATGGGATGTCTTGAGTGGCGTCGGCATCAGATGGCGGCAGGCCGTCGGGAATAGTCTCAAACCTGAAGTCCGGCAGCCCAGCAAGGGCAGTAGGGCCATGGGACTTGAGCAAGCGTTTGTGATTGAACTCAGTGTTAACAAAAGTTATGTAGAATCCTTGATGGTGAAGAAGCTTGGCGAGTTTGAACATAGGGTTTATGTGACCTTGTCCTGGACATGGTACGCATATAGCATGGGCCTTATCATTTCCTGCAATAGACTCCATCCCCCCCCCCCCCCCCCCCCCCCCCC